CGTATCTCAAAAAGCATTATCTTATAAAAACGGCAAGAGGATTGTCAGCCTTTAGTAAATATTGAACAATGGAAATCAGTTTGGACATCTTTCATGCGCACAACAAACATTATAAATACAAAATACCAATCTTTTAAACCAGGAAAACCTAGCTATGTAAACAAATCTAATAGCCCACTCTGTTGGAAGAACTGTGGCCTCATTGGTTCATATCACCACTGCTGGTGGAGCTGTTTTTTTCATTAATAATTTCTGGAAGAACGTGGTGAACCAAATCAAACTGATCACAGGATATGATGTCCCCTTCACTCCAGAAGCTGTTTTACTGAATTATTGGTAGGGTTGCCAAGTTGTTTCTTCGCCGCAGCAGGGGACTCCCGGGTGGCGACTGGAGTTTTCCCTTCGATGGTCGTGGCCCCGCCCCCAGCATGCCCGGCGTCCTAACGTCACTTCCTGGTGAGGCGCACGTCGGGGTGGGGTTCCCTCCGGGGCCCGATCCACCACCGGTGGGGAACGGGCCTCTGGGGCGGGGGTTTCCCCGCCCCCCGGGGGGACTTGGCAAACCTAATTATTGGTCAGATCCTTCATTATGGAAAGCAAAAAGAGAATTGATTGTCATACTGCTTGCTGTGGCAAAATTGGCTATAGCAACCAAATGGAAAGCTAATAAAGCCCCATCTCTGGAACTTTGGTATTTAAAACTCTAGGATCAAATGATCATGGCAAAAATAACCCCTGGAAGAAGATACCACTAGAGAAGATGGCCTAACTATGCAGGGACATGGTTTTCAGTGATGGAATTTTTAGTTTCTAACAATATCCTTCCCCCAAACAATATAAAGACTATTTAATATTGTAATTATTCTGGGAGTATTGTGGTAATAGAATATTTTGAAGTAGAATACTGTACTCTAAAAGTACTGTACAATAATCTTTGAACTGTGTAGGTCATGTTAACTATAATTTTGTTTATGTATTATGTATACTTCCCTCTAATTGGTGGTGAGCTTGTATATTTTGTTATTATATAATATGAATAAAATATTAATTTTAAAAATAGATTTGTGAATAGCAAAAGGTTAGTTACTTCTGGACATCATGTGGTAGATTCAGATTTCACTGCTGTGGCTTTTCCTACATTTTTTGGTGACCAGATTTAAAAAAGCTCCCGTGACACATGTTTACCTTTTCTGAATCTGGTGAAAAGTATGTGGAATGGCCTTATAATGTGCCCCAACTTGTTTGGAAACTTTAAAAACTTTTTAAATTTATATCAGGTAGAATAATGTATAAGGTTGTACAGCATCCAAAAATTTTGTATTCTAATATTCAGTGAACAGTATCAAATTCTGTAGAAATCTGTTATCTTGATTATTCTTACTGTCCCTCTTACAATAAGTCAATTTTGTTATTAATGCTATCATCCAGATTTGCTAATACCATTCAGCCATGAATGGCAGACTTCCATTTTGTAGCAGTATATACCTATCTCGTCAGTTCCAACACAGTTGTTAAACTAACCTTAACTATTACTTTCTAATGTATTAATATTTCATAGCCTGTCATTTCTTTAATGACAATTCAAGATATATTATTGAAAGGGCATTTTTATCATACAGTTCCAAAATACATGCACTATATTTGCTTTTGCTAGCATTCAATACCAGCAGAATTGTAGTTTATAATAGCTTTTATTCATATTCATCACATTCTTATTGCTTCTTATTGCAGGCGTATGATTTGCAATTACATTATTGCATTACAGATCTACCACAGCAAAAGTCACTGGTGGGTGGGTGTATATATGTGTGATTTGCAGTTACCGCTTTCATCCTTGAAGTATGGATTTGCTTTGGACGAGTGTTGTAATAATGGTGATAGGTGTTATAGATATTCTTCTGTTTCTTATTTGGAGACTTCAGTGAACTGTATACCTGTTTTGTCTGTGGCTAATATGCAATTTCTACCAGTTAATCTAATTCTAGGTCCCTGCCACACGGGGGGGGGGGGGGGAGGGGGACGAGCAGGGGGACGAAGTGTGGCTTTTGAAAGCCGCACCAAAATAGGCACGCGACGGCGGGATCACACAGATCCTGTGAGCCACCGCGCAGTTGCTCCCCAGCACGATCAGATGCTGGGGAGACCAGGGAGAAAGCGATGAGACAGAGATGGAGGCTGCCGAACTGCGCATGTGTGTGCATGTGCAGTTCGGCCAGGAGCGCTGGCAGAAGGATGCACCGGCGATCCTATGACCACACTTGCCGCGGCCTTTCTGGTAAGTCCACCTCTAGGGGTGGTTCTTTTTTGCAGCGGGTTTTCGGCCTGAAGGGCCGAATCGGGAACGGGTGCACACCGCTTCCCAAATGTTGCGGTGTGATCACACCCGTTTGCTGCGCCCCTGATTTGTCCCTCTCCCGGCCCAAACCCTTGCATGTGACCGAGGCCCCAGTTGGTCTTTTATGAAGGGGTCGATGTTCTTCCAATATACCACAGTAACCATTTTAGCAACTGTAAGCAAAGTTTAGATTAACTTTACTCAGGTTCAGGTTTCATTTTATTGCCTTTAGCCATAGGCCATTACAATGAAACTTTACTCAATATCTAAAGAAAGTAGAAACCCTTTTAAATAAAAATGGAGAGAGTGGTTTGGAGTGTAGAGGTTTTGTGACTGAAAATAATGTCCAGGTGGTAATCATTTCTGGGAGGATGAGTTGAGAGATGGAGGGTCAAAGTGTCAGCTGGGAGGGGTTACATATTGGGATAGGTTTTTTAAGGAAATTACTTATGGATTTTCTTGACAAAGTTGATTGGGGTCCCGGTCACATGCATGAGATAATGCGCGGGGGCAGCGAGGCTATTTAACCTGGAGGAAATTGACCCACAGTTGCGTGATCACACAGTTATTTGAAGCTGTGGGCATAGTCCGCCACTGCGTGATCAGACGCAATTATGGGATAGTTGGTTGGGGTTTTTTGCTGTTTGTTTTCGATTTGTTTAAACAGAGGATCAATGAATCGCATCTCCACACTGAGGGCTTCCTACAGCAGTATGCGATAATGCGCATACTGAGAAGGGAAAAAAACCCCAGTGGCACGGAGTCGGGATGGCCTGATCAGACCATCCCGACGCCATGAGAGTGCGCTGGAGTGATGGCACACAGGGGAAAGTCTGTTTGTGGCCCATAGCAACCCGTTTGATACTGGACTTTCCTCGGTATTTTTAACTCCGCTTCTTCGGTGGAGCGAGATGTGTTGCCGACGGGTGCGGGATGCTTGCCAGATGTTCCTGTGTGATCATGCCCTTAAAATATGCCCGGCATTTGTGCCTATCGTGCGGCTAATTCTCCGTGTGATCGGGACCTGGATATATCTAATTTTGTGTCTGGGAAACATTTTGTTGAGCAGAACTCTCTACAGTTTTTATCACAAGGAAGATATTTTGGGGCGAGACCTGATAATTTCTCCAAAATTCCTCTTTATACTGTTCAAACACATCAGTCTTTCCCAGTCTCCACACATATATCATTTCTCCAGCTTTTCAGGTACAACTGCTAATTCTCTGTACTGTTTGCTTGTGGGAACGGGGCTGGAGAAACATGAAGCAAATTCTGAAGTGTAGAGATGCTAAATTAAGTTGGCAGGTTGGGCAGGGACTGAATATTTTGGCAAAAATATTGTTTTCCTTGGCATGCAGTATTTGAAGTAGCTGGTATGGCCTACTCATCAGTCTGCATCACTAGATGATTGCATTAAGTAGTTAGCTTTCTAGTAATCTGGACAGAATACTGATAATGTTTAAGTAATGTTGAGTTGCAGATTTTTCTATTCATTCTTTTTATTAAAAATAATATCCTACAATGCGTTCCCAGCGTGGATTGCGCATTACATTTAAGAAGAGTAAAATACAATGAAGAGAGACAACCAGCCTCCAATTCTATGCATTACATTTAAGAACAGTAAAATACAACGAAGAGAGAACAACTAGCCAGTAAAAAAGGTAAAGGTTCCCTTGCTTGAAAGCCAGTCGAATCTGACTCTAGGGTTGCGGTGCTCATCTCCGTTTCAAAGCCGAAGAGCCAGCGCTGTCCAAAGACATTTCTGTGGTCATGTGGTCGGCATGACTAAACACCAAGCCGCACGGAACGCTGTTACCTTCCCACCGAAGTGGTCCCTATTTATCTACTTGCAATTTCTTGCTTTCGAACTGCTAGGTTGGCAGGAGCTGGAACTAGAGATGGGAGCTCACTACATCATGCAGCACACGGGTCTCGAACTGCTGAACTACTGACCTTCTACAACCTGCAGTTCAGCGTCTTAACCACTTGAGCCACCGCAGCTCCCCATATATAAATAAATAAACGCAAGCACTGTTAAATTCATCAAAAATATAATATATTCATCAAAAATCTAAAATATTCATCAGTTCCACAGTTTAATCAAAACAGCCTATGCATGAAACACTGTATGGAATACCGGTAGGGATAGGGTTGAACTTGACTACCTTGGGAGTGCATTCCAGGGATACAATCTTGATACTAAATTAACATGACTAAACTGAGGCTAACATAGTTTGGTCACATCCTAAGAAGACAAGACTCACTGGAAAAAACAATGCTAGGAAAAGCAGAAGGCAGGAGGAAAAGAGGAAGACCCAACATGAGATGGATGGACTCAATAAAGAAAGCCACGGCCTTCGATTTGTGAGACCTGAACAAGGCTGTTAATGGTAGGATGTTCTGGAGGTCATTAATTCATAAGGTTTTCATAAAGTGGAAGCGACTTGACAACACAACACACACACACACACACACACAACCTTGATATTGAAAAGTAACTCTCTTACATTGTTACTTGCTAGTGGGGATGCATGGAAAAGGACCTCAGTGCCTGATCAGATGTCTGTGGTAGGACCTAATCCACAGTTCTGTAATTATTCTGCAGCTTTTGTAGTCTAACAAGAATGTTTCCCTATTTACTTATGTGTTAATTGTGTTGTTTCAGTGATGTCCTTGCACTGCCAATCTTCAAACAAGAAGAACCTCAACTATCTCCTGAGAATGATGCAAAGCTCCCTCCCTTTCAATATGTGCTCTGTGCAGCCACATCTCCTGCTGTGAAGCTTCATGAAGAGACTTTAACCTATCTCAACCAAGGTAGAACCAGTACAAAACTGAATAAGCAAAGAAGCAATGCTGTCCATTGGCTTCCTGATTAAGTTAAAGCCCTGCTCGGCCTGGGAATTGTTGAAACTGAGTTTATATGCACTTAGTTGGTGCACTGAGGGAATATCAGGGGAGCTTCATATATACCATTTTAAGTTTCCTAAAGGAAAAAGTTAGAAATGCAATACTTCTCCTATTGAAAAAATGAAATCTATTTCATCATATCTTCACATTGTGAAAGCCAGTTAATTTCCATGTGAACGCCTAGTTGACTTGAACCAACAAAGCATATGGTCCCAATGAGCAATTCCTTCATTATTGCTGCCATTTTGAAATATAGTTCTGTCATCTACCTGCAGATCAATATTGTGCTAGAGGTGAAAATGGGAGAAGTTTAATTAATAACCATTTATAGACTTTCCTAGATAGGTATGCCAGGCCATGGCCGGCAGCCAGTGGGAGGGCTGTGGGCAGGGACATGGAGGGTGGGCACGATGTTATTATTATTATTTATTTATTATTTTCAATTTATATCCCACCTTGCCAGGCGGACTGGCTCAAGGTGGCGTACAAACATTAAAATGCAATAAAACAGTAAATATAATAAAGTACAATAAAATACACATAAACAACCTGCATAACATTGTAAAAGTGCTAATAAAGACGGTGCAAGTGATGGCGGCATTCAGTATACAATCCCATAGTGAAAGGCAGTATCCTACGGTGTATCATAAGGGCCGTGGTATGTTCCGGTGGCTCATTCGTCAGAGGCGGCTCCTAATCGAAAGCCTGGTGGAAGAGCTCTGTTTTACAGACCCTGCGGAACTGTAAAAGGTCCCGCAGGGGCCTGATGTCATCTGGGAGCTCATTCCACCAGTGTTGAGCCACCACTGAAAAGGCCCTGGCTCTAGTAATGGCCAACCTGGTGTCTTTCAGGCCAGGGAGAGTCAGGCGATTCTGTGTCCCTGACCTCAGTGCTCTCTGGGGCACATATAGGGAAAGGCGGTCCCTCAAGTAGACAGGCCCCCGACCATATTGCTATGTCGCTTCTACCATACAGTACCACAAAATTTCTGCTGATTCCTAGACCTACACTGTCAGTGACATTGCTGGGGTTTTTTTTATTCTGCTGCCACTCTGAGTGGCAGTGGGCAATGGATCTTGCCAGCAGGAGGCTTCCCACTGTAGTGGAAGGCCTGGCAAGCCTTGTGTTTCAGTTCAACTAGGGTGGTTGTCCTGGTTACTCAGTTAGAAAGCATCATGCAATACAGTGAGCAGAATACCGAAACTAGACCAGAGAAGTATATGGTTTCAACTTTCTGCTTATCCTGAAGCTTACTGAGTGGCCTCGGGCAGGTCACGATGTTTAAACAATTTAGGTCATAGGATTGTTGTGAGAATATAATGGGATAACACTATGCTCCCTGAGCTTCTCGGAGCAACATATGTGAAATATTAAGTCTGACTATATTATTTTAAGCTGCAGTGGAAATGCCTTTATGCAGCCCACAGAATCTTTGTAAAGTATTTGGTGTAATCTGCTGATAATTCCTGTGTATACTGTAGACATAAGCAGCACATTTTTCAGGATATGTTTGTTATTTAAATGTGAACAGTTTTGGCAACAGTTGCTGTGCTTGACTGTGTTTGGTGATAATACATTATTAAAGAGTTCAGGGTTTTCATTGATATTCAAAATAGCTATGAATCCTGTTCGGACTCAGCTGCTTCTGTCCTAATACTACACTTTCATTAGTTTCCCACAGAATCTATTATCTAATTTCAACTTTTATTTTTTTGTACTCAAATGGCAAAAATTAAGATACATGTGCTAAGGTAGTGCAGAGTGCAGCGGTTTATGAATGTCTCTCTCCAGTATTGGGTTGATTTGCTGTTACGCTTGCAGAAAACGAAGGCATTCATACTTAAAATTTCAAAAATGTTCCAGAGTACAACTTAATATGCAAACTATTATGCACTTTTGTTGTCAGAACAATAAAATAAGTTTAGAGATGATAAGAAAGTAAGTGTTGCATATATTTCAGTTTCCCCCCAAATTTCCATTCAGGAGGGGGGATTGCAGAAAAATCATTTTTTCTATTGCTTCAACATTTCTGAGAACATTACAGATGTCAGTGGTTAATCATTCTTGAAAATGTGACTGGACATGGGCTTATAGGGACTTGAGGGAAGACCGCAGGTGACTTGCTACTACACAGCTTGCATGAATTACCCAGGCCTTTACTGTTCAACAGAAGATTTCCCACAAAGGCCAATGTAGTGTAGTAGTTAAAGAACCAGATTGGGAGAAGCAGGTTCAAATCCACATTCTGTCATGGAAGTTCACTGGGTGACCTTGTGCTAGTTATACAGTCTCATACGAACCTACTTCACAGGGTTGTTGTGGGGAAAAATGGAAAAAGAAGAGATTAGATTTATACCCCACCCTTCATTACCCAAGGGAGTCTCAGAGCGGCTTACAAACTCCTTTTCCCTTCCCCTCCCCACAACAGACACCCTGTGAGGTGGGTGGGGCTGAGAGAGCTCTGACAGAAACTGCTCTTTTTCAAGGACAGCTGTTATCAGAACTGTGGCTTGCCCAAGGTCACCCAGCAGGTGCAAATGGAGGAGTGGGGAATCAAACCCCGTTCTCCCAGATTAGAGTCTGTGCACTTAACCACTACACCAAAATGGAGGGGATGTAAGCTCTTTTGGAGAGAAAGTGGGGTATAAATGACATAAATAATAGGTAATAGGTATATAGCTGAAGATAGGGGACAGATAAAGACTTGGTGGGTGGATGGGAAGGAGATAAGGAAGCAAGAAAAGGTGAGGATATGGGGGCTACCAGGAAAAGGAAAAGAGGAAATAGTGTGGGAAAAGGGATAAAGGGGAAACTGAGGCTCATGCAGGTTTCCCACCATGCAAGTGGGCCATAGAGGCTGCTAGGGAGAGGGAAGGAGGGAATCTGAGGTAGACAAAGGTAGGTTGGCTGGTGGATGGGAAGGAGATAAGGAAGCAAGAAAAGGTGAGGATATGGGGGCTACCAGGAAAAGGAAAAGAGGAAATAGTGGGGGAGGGAGAAATAAATGCTTCCCAGTAGGTCCTCGTGGGTCCCCTGCTTGTGGGTCTCCTGCTTGCAGGTCCCCTGCTGGTTTAATCAGAATAGCAACATCCCAAGCCAAGCTCCACTGGATGTTGTGAAATGGTTCTGGCCCAAAATGACACGCCTGGGCATATGACAAAATAATGTTAATATTCCCCAGTGGTAACTGTTTGTTAGATTGTGGTTCCCTGACAGCTCTGTCCCAGTATTCAGGTGTGCTTTGAGAAGGTGACCCTTCCAACTGAGGGGTGCTGATGAAATAGCACTATGAGATTAGAACAGGTGGTAGGAAAAGCAGATAAAACTTAGAGTTAAATACCTTGGGGTACAGGGTTAAATACCTTGGGGTGCTTAGGGTTAAATACCTTGGGGGTACAGGAAAAATTAACAAGAATCCTGTGGTATTCTTAAGGACAAGCATATTTATTCTAGCTTTCATGAACTGGGAGGTATTTTGTCAGATGTATATAATGGGTACTCAGCAGATAGGCAGATAATATGTGAGATTATGAGGGGGGAAAGTTGTAAACCGCAGGGTCAAAAGGCCATGGAATGCAGGAAATGCAGAGTGAAGTGTGATTGTGTAAAAATCAGATCAATCAAGAAAAGTCCAGTGACTGTTTACAAGAGTAGAGGTGGGGTGGTCATGCATAGTTTGGCTCAGTTAAAACTCATAAGGCAGGTTCTATCTGGGGATCTGATGTGTGGATCTGCTATCCTTTAGCAGATCTGCGTTGCTTTACATGTACTCTTATATTTTTAAATAAAGTAAACATTGCAAAGACACTATACAGTCTCGGTCCTTTCTCATCCCAAGAAAATGAACACTGGTAGTGCTGCCCCTGGGACTTCTAGCTAACACAGCTCTCAGGCAACCTCCTTTTATTCATTATTCCAATGAGATGGTGAAAATAATGCTGATCTACCTTTAAAGCTTATTGTAAGAATTACCAAGGAAGGTCTTGTGCTCAAAAGCACTATAGGTAATATTTCTGTGAGTAAATCATAGAATCATAGAATCACAGAATGTTAGAGTTGGAAGGGACCTTGCAGGTCATCTAGTCCAACCCCCTGCACTCTGCAGGAGCATGGCTGAAAGATAGCCCTACATACCTACAACCAGTGTTCCCTCTAAGCTGAGTTAATGTGAGCTAGCTCACAGATTTTTGGCCTCTGGCTCACACATTTTTGTCTCAGCTCAGGAAGGATGGCTCCAGAGCAAACTAATTTATGCAGTAGCCAAATCACTTGCTCACAACTTTAATGCCGGTAGCTCACAAAGTAGAATTTTTGCTCACAAGACTCCACAGCTTAGAGGGAACATTGCCTACAACATACCCGAAATATGGTCGTCCAGCCTCCGCTTGAAAACGTCCAGCGAAGGAGCATCTACCACCTCCCGAGGCAGATTGTTCCACTGCTCAAATACTCTTACAGTTAGGAAGTTTCTCCTGATATTTAGCCGGTAACAATGCATCCTAACACTGCATTAGCTTTCTTCACAGATAATAAATAATAAAGTAAGAGTCTCTGTATGCCAGAATTGTGCCTTTTCATCCAATACTATTTATTATATATATCCTGCTTTTCTCATTCTCTTAATGGTTCAAAACAATATGAGTGAGTAAGGGGTAAGAGACCTGTCCATATGGCAAAGCATAATTCTGCCATCCTGCAGGGTGGATAAAAATCAATGTTTTTTTCTAAAAAAAAATTTCAAAATTTTTGAAAAATTTAAATCAAATTTTAAAAATTTAATTTGGGTTAAAAAAATAATATGCTTTCTGAGGGAAAATCTATCTAAAGATAGTTTTCTATTTAAGATACATTATAGTCCAAAGGTTACTCATAACGAAATAAGGATTAGTTTTTGATAATGTAGTAT